GGGGATTTTGGGGGTCCTGGTGCTGTTGGGGTGTGGGGAACAGGGACCCTGCGCTCTCACTGTTCTCCCTGCCAGCACAGCGTAATCCTGGGATTAAGGGTGTGTAATCCCAGGATTTCACTGGGCTGCCACCCTGTTAATCCCTTCCCTAGGGGGGTCCAGCTGCTGCTCCCACCCTGTGGGGCCAGGGGGGCTCACGTGGGGCAGCACGAGCACTCTGGGGCCCCCAGGGTTGGGGTTTAGGAACCCACAGGGGGTTTGGCTCACTTCAGGGCTTTTGGTTCACTTTTGTTTAGCCTGAAGACAAAACCTGGGGGTTGAGTGTGTGGCCAAACCCCTGCCCCCACAAAACCCCTCCAGCCCTCACCTTTCCCCAAAACAGGGCTCTTTGACCCCAAAAGAGCAGCCCTGTCCCATGGACTGCAGTGGGATGACACCAACAGCCTCTGTGAGGTCACTCCAAGCTCCTTCTGACCCCAAAAACCAGCTCTGGAGCCCCCAGAGCCCCTCCAGACCCACAGGACTTCCCAAATTCACCCCCAAAAATCTTCCAGTCCCATCAAGGTGAGGAAAGGAGAGGGAGGGAAAATCCGCCTTTAATTGGGGCAGGAGCAGCACAGCCAGCCCCTGTACAGGTGTGGGGGGCTCCAGAAGGAGGGGAGGCCCTGGGGTGCCAGGCTGGGCTCAGAGCTCGGAGAAGAGCGGCTGCTCCCTGACGCTGCCCAGCACAGGCACAGGGCTGCGGCGGGGGCTGGCATGGGGCTCCAGGGCACCAACGAAGAAAAAGGGGATGTGGGAGATCTTCCCCGAGGACCAGCACTGCAGGGTGAGCATCCAAAACACAGAAATGGGAAAAATCCTGTGACTGAGTCCAGCCTGTGACCTGACACCGCCTCATCACACAGGCCTTGTCACCAAGTGCCACATCCAGGCTTTGCTTAAACACCCCTGGGGATGGGGCCTCCCCTGCCAGCCCATTCCAGGGTCCAGTCACCCTTTCTGGAAAGGAATTCTTCCCAAAGTCCACCCCAAACCTCCCCTGGCTGTGTCCCCTGGTGCTGTCACTGGTAGCAGAGACCTCACCTGGCTGTCCTGTCCTGTCAGGGAGCCACAGAAAGTGGTCTGTCCCCAGAACACAGGACCCACGCTTGGTCTGGTTAAACCTCCTCTCCTTAGAACCCCCCATAGCTCACCGCAATCCCAGCCCCCTTCCCAGTGCCACCAGTGTCCCCTGGGACTGGGAATGCCCCGGGGAGGGACTCACCACGGTCAGGAGGGCGCCCTGAGGGAAGCAGGGGTGGAAGGAGATGAGCTGGGGTCGGGCGCCACGCTCGCCCCGCACAAAGCCGCTGTGGGGTGGGAACAGCTGGGGTTACTGCCCAGGAAACACCACGTTCCCAGGGAACTGGGGCTGTTTGGGATCTGACAGGATGCACTGGGAAAGGACAACCCAAAGGGGGTGAGGTGGGGAGGGGACGATGTGGCCAAAGCACATTTGGGGGTGAAGCGGTGACAGGGATTGGAGGAGGAGCACAGGGGGCAGCGCTTTCCCATCACATCCTGGGGGTTAATGGGATTCAGTGAACCCAAACCTATCCCAAATCTGCTGCAGTGAACCCAAATCCACCCAAACCCCCCTGCAGTGAACCCAAGTCCACCCCAATCCCCCAAGGTACCAGGGCAGGAGCTCGAAGACAGGGCTGTTGCGGGTGCGGAACACGGCGACGGCCGGCTGGCTGTTCGGGGACTCGGGGTGTCCTGCAGGGCGACAGCAGCACCGAGGCTCTCCCTTGTCCCCCCATGTCCCTTTTCCCTGTGGGCAGTGGGGGTCCCAGGCCAAACCTGGGAACGGGGCAGGCCTCACCTCTGATGATCACTGCCAGCCTCTCCCCAGTGGGGTCCCACACCATGGAATGAACCTCTCCTCCAATCCTGGAACAGCACAAGTCCCCAAAATCAAGGGGCAGAGACACCTGGCTGTTCCCAGCAGCAAGGGGTGGCTGCCAGGAGGAGCAGGGACCCCCCTGTGCCCCCAGGTGCCCCAGCCAGACTCACCTCTCCTCCCCGTAGAGGGTCTCAAAGGTGGTCTCGGACAGGTCTGCCACGATTGAGGCTGTTTTGGAGCCTCCCACCTGTCCCTGCATCTCCCCTGAAAGGGGAGAAATCCACACTCCATAAATCCCATCGGATTTCCCAGGTGATCATTAATTTCTTTCTTTCTCAGAGCAGCTGTACTGGTGTCCCAGGAGTGTCTGGGATGGAGGCCAAGGGATAGCAAACACCCCTGAGCTGGCCCTGTACCCACTGGAGTCTCCCTGAAATCCCTTCAAGACCCCACAACCATGGCTGAGAGTGAGGAGCAACGTGAGGGATGGAAAAACCTGAACTCCAGAGATTCCATGCTTGGAGACCCCAAAACAGCTCCTGTGTGCCCCAGTTCCTCACCCCAATGCTATGGGATCATTTGGGAACCATCTCCTGGCCCTTGGGAAGCTCCACGTGGGACAAACTCACCCCGGTACTCGGAGAAGGACAAGGAGTAGATGACAGACTCGCCCAGCACGGTGAAGAGCAGCCGGCTGCCATCGGGGCTCCAGCACCCTGTCTGTGGGACAGTGCCACCCCTGCCACACTGTCTGTGGGACAGTGCCACCCCTGCCACCCCAGCACCCACAGCCACCCCAGGGAGGACACAGCTGGCACGGGATCCCCTGGAAGCAGCTGGGAATGGAGGATTTGGAATCAATCACCCCAGGTATCCCTCGGAGGCGACGCCTGCCCCGCGCAGCGAGGGCACAGCAGAACCCTGGGCTCAGTTTGGGGTTTCAGATGGACACTGAGGGGCTGGAGCGTGTCCAGAGGGGGAAATGGAGCTGGGAAGGGGCTGAAGTCCAGAGGGAACTGAGGGGGCTCAGAATGGAGAAATGGAGGATCAGGAGGGACTTTTCACTCCACAGGTCCCTGACAGGAGGGGACAGCCAAGGGAAGCTCGCAGGGAACAAGAGACAAGAGGACACGGCCTCAGGCTGTGCAAGGGGTGGTTCAGGTTGGATATTGGGAAGATTTCCACACAATTAGGGACAATTTTTGGGCTGGCTGCCCAAGGCAGGGGTGGAATCCCCATTCCTGGAGGGGTTTAAAAGCCCAGTGGCACTTGGGGACACAGGTCTGTGGTGACCTTGGCAGTGCCAGGGGTTGGCCTGGGTGGTCCCAGAGGGCTTTTCCAGCCTCAATTATTCCCTGGGTGGGGAATATCCCATCCTACCTGGCAGCGTCCCCTGATCGTGGGCCAGCGCTCACAGGTCCACATCTGGGCCTCCCACACCCTGCAGGAGACAGGATTTAGGGAGCAAAATTCCTGGGAATTTGCCCCAATCCTGCTGCTCTGGAAATCCACCGTGTCCAACCCCATCACCCACCCATTCCCCACTCTGTCCCCACAACAGGAAGAGGAGCAGGGAGGATATCTGAGATCCAGGTCAACCTTTTGGATGGAGGGTGATGGGGGATGAGGAGCTCACCGGAACACGGCCGAGGGGGTGGCTGCCAGCACTTTGCTGCCATCGGGGGACCAGGCCAAGTAGGTGACACCGCCACCCCCAAACCACTGCAGCTGGACACAGGTCTCAGTGGACACATCCCACACCTGCAGGAGGGGATGAGGAGGATGATGGTGACACCGGGAATAGGGAACACGGAGAGAAGATTCTGGGGCCAGGTGAAGTCCCAGAGCTGCCTCTGTAGGAACACTGCCTGTGCCCAGCTCGAGTGTCCCTTGGTGGCCCCAGGGGTGTCCCCAGGAGGGTCCTCACCAGCATGGCCGTGTCCACGGGTGACGCTGAGAGCAGCCGCTCCCCACTGGGCGCCCAGGCCAGGCTGGTGACAGGGCTGTGCCCGGGGCAGGACAGCACCTGGGCACAGCCTGATGAGGGCCTGCAAAAGAGGGAGAGGCCACCAGGGTTTGGGATTTGTTGGCAGGATGGTGGAGGTGTCCCAAAGCCAGCCCCGGTGGGGTGGCAACAGCTGGGAAGGGAAGGTGGGAGCTGTCACCTTGTGGAGAGGGAGGTGGGGTCCAGGTGCCACACAAGGACGCAGCTCTGGCAAGCCACGGCCAGGATGGAGGCGCAGAGCGGCTTCCAGGCCATGGCAGCCACGTTCCTCTGCAGGCGATGCTTCAGCGAGGGCACGGTGGCACTGCCAGGGAGGGGACAGGTGACACACAGGGCAGGTATGGGCTGAGAGTCCTGGTGCAGCCAGTGTCCCCTGCCAGCCCTGAGCACAGCGAGGGGGGACAGCAGGGTGACAGCACTGCCGTGTGCTTCCCGGGGAGGGGACAGGAATTCCCAGCCAGGTAAGCCAGGGGAGGTGAGCCAAGGCACACCTGGTGTGACTGAACCATGCTGTCCCCAGCCCAGAGAGGGCCCAGGCTGGCCAGAAATGCCTGGGGGGGCTGCAGAAGCAGCTGGCAGAGTCCTCTCCTGAGCAGGGCCTGGCATTCCCTGGGGGAGCGGGGAGAGCTGGGGACAGAGGACACTCCACCCATGTCCCCCTGACTCTGTCAACACCCCCCAGGATGGCCCAAGAGCTACACAGGGAAAGGAAAGGCAAAGCTCTTCAGGCTTGGGGGAGAGTGGGGAAGGAGCAGGGAGGGCTGAACGGGAGCCCAGGCGTGCCCAGGTGGGCAAGGAGGCCTCAGGCAGCAGGACCAGGGCAGTGCCCACCCTGGGCTGCCCAAATCCTGGGACAAAGCCCCACCTGTTGGAGTTGTAGACGCGGATGGAATCATCCAGAAGAGCCACAGCGAATTTGTTGGTGTGGGGGTGCCAGGCAAAGGCCCGGACGGTGCAGCCAGCCCTGGAGGGGGCACAGGGCAGGGTGAGACCCTCCCAGCACACCCTGGGCTGGCAAGGACCCTTCTCAGAGTCCCCAGAGAAATTAAACTTCCTTCTTGCTGCTCAACAGGATAGTTTTCTTTGAGAAGTTCCCTGTTTCTTGGAATTATTCACAGGGCTCTGCTGAGGGGCTGGTGACCACCACCCAGAGTTGGAATTGGATCCAGGCTCTGATCTCCTTTAATCCTGATCTCTCTCTGACAAAACAGGGTAGCCAGAACCAGTGGGGCAATATTTGTCTTTAATGACTGAGTCCACCCAAACAGAGCCATCCCGTCCTTGTACCCCCACCCCTCACCCACCTGGAGGGGCCCCAGACCCCACCTTGGTGATTTTGGGACACCCAGGACTCACCAGTCCACAGCCTGGGAGAAGGCTGCGATCATATCCTCACTGGTCAGCTGCAGAGAGAGGAGAACACTGAGCTGCCAGCAAGGACTCCCAGTGTCCAGCCCTTTTCCCTCTCCCCCACCTGGATTCGGGCCCCTCTTGGAGCCCTTTGCTGCCCAAACACCTTCCCAGGGTCCACTGTCCTCCAGCAGAGGAAGGAGCAGGGTATCACCATCCTGGGCATCACCAGGAGGAACATTTTGAGGGGGTTTGAGTGGGGCAGGGAGCACCCTCCACCCCAAATCACGGCTCCCCTAGCCCCTGTCCCCCGCAGCAGCAGGGACCAGGCCGCAATGACTCACGGAGAGGTGCGGGAACAGGGATCCGTGCAGCGAGGCCAGCCAGCGGCACACGGCCAGCGCGTGGCTCGA